TCTATCTATCTATCTATCTATCTATCTATCTATCTCTGTCTGTGTGTGTGTGTGTGTGTGTGTGTGTGTGTGTGTGTGTGTGTGTGTGTGCAGTGCCAGCGCACTGACTCCCAGCAGCGCTGCAACAAGTGCAAGGGAGGATGAGGTACCAAGTGTGTGTGTGTGTGTGTGTGTGTGTGTGTGCAGTGCCAGCGCACTGACTCCCAGCAGCGCTGCAACAAGTGCAAGGGAGGATGAGGTACCAACACTGGGCAGGCAGGTGTTTCGTAGCGCTGACTCAGGTTGGCCTGCCTCAGGATGAAGGGCTCAGATTTCTGGATTGGAGGCGTGACGATTCCGATGCGGCCTGAGTGAGCCCTGACTAAGCGGGCATTGGAAGCTTCCGTTGGACGGATTCTAAGTCGTTGGATCGAATGTGTGTCATCGGTGGCCTAGGTTGACTCCTGGGGAAATCTTTGACTTTTTTACTTCTGGACTCCCTAGGGTCTCTGACCGTTGATTTCCTAGGGCCTCCGATCGACCTCTAGTGGCCCTGACTGGGTCCCTCAATTCGAGCCCTGATGCGGGCGGTCCAGATTTCGATGTGGCCTGAGTGTGCTTTGACTAACTAGGCTTGGAACCTGGGATACAAAAGCTGCACCAAGGGTTCTTAGCTCAGTTGGTACACCCATAAACTGTTGATGAAATGCAGACGTGAGTTCAAATCCAGATGGAATCCAGATGAACGACATTTCCTGAATTACCGACGGCCGGTCAGTTCCACATTGATATCTCCTCCAGGCTAAAAGAAGATAAGCACAAAGCCTGGAGGAGATATCAATGTGTAACTGACCGGGCCTGGGTAATTCAGGAAATGTCGTTCATCTGGTTCCATCTGGATTCGAACTCCGCTCTGCGTTTCAATGTGGACCACTGGACCCTTTGCAAGCTGGTTTTATCTGGATTCCATCTGGATTCGAACTCACTCAGGTCTTGGTTCCATCTGGATTCCATCGGGACTCGAAACTCAGGTCAAATCCAGATGGAACTGGATGAAACAAAATTATAAGTTCCTGAATTACCAGGGCCCGGTCAGTTTCACGCTGATATCTCTCCAGGCTGTCACTTACCGTCTTCACCCGAATAGAACGCCCGGTCATTATAGCAGCCGTATTTGGTGCAACTTTCAGTCTACATACAGCGATAATGACCGGTCATTCTATTCGGGTGAAGACGGTAGTCTGAACTTCGTGGCGACACCAAGGAGGATGGCCTCATCATCCTCCGTTGAAATGATGTTTGAACTTCGAAGTTTATTTCAATTAAATCACCACTACCTCTGTCACTCTTGGGAAAAATGGAAAAACGTTTTCCAACTGCTGTTTTGAATGTGTTTTCCCACTTTTTCTTAACTTTTTCGGGGGTTGGACGAGGCTCGGCAGTTGGGCCTTCCTTGAGGGCCCCTTCGAAAAGCAAAAAGAAAAGAAAAACAAAAAAGATCATGTCGGGGAAGGCCGTGCACCAAGTTGTACCCACACACGAAACTCACACGCTCGTATCTAACCGCTATAGCGACCAGTTTCAGGTTTTCATTGTTTGTGTTTTTTGTTTTCGTTCATTTTTCTTTTATTTGTTTTGGTGCCCCACCAGGGAAGCACGGCGCAGTCCACGGGCAAAGTGACACTTTGTGGAGGAGAGCATGCCCACACTATTACTTTACTTTGCAGAATGTGCGAAGTACTATGAACCGCTTTCCCGCCCTAAGTTCAGTTTCAATTTTTTTCTTTCCCTCTTCCTTCTTTCGTGGACTTGATACCCTTTGCCGTAACGCCCTCACCGAGGGCATACTCACACAATGACTTTGGGCTATAGGTTATCTACCAGGTATCACGTCCAAATGGGTGTTTGTTTTTTTGCTTTTCTTTTTCTTTGGCTGCAAGTGGGTCGTTTTTTGAAAGTCTGGCCGTGCTTTTTCTTTTTCTTTTTCTTTTTCTTTTTCTTTTTCTTTTTTTTTTTTCAGGAGAGTACCAGAAAAGAAACAAAATGGAACCCAGGCTCGGTAAAACTCGGTGCGCAGTGAAAATCAGGGTCGGCAAAAACAGGCTCGGAGGTACTACCGTCTTCCCCTGAACATAACGCATATGCATTGTAAACGAATACAACGCATACCGTGCAGTGTATTCGTTTTCAACGCATATGCGTTATGTTCGAGTGAACGAGACCATCTTTACCTGCACAAGGGGGTCGGGTCCAGGCTGAGTAGGCTCAGTTCTGGATCACAGCTGGGGGCCTGAGAGCCTTGGCAAAAAGGTAAAAGTAAAGTAGCGACGTACCTTTCCATGTTCTGGGTTGAGTTTCATTCCTTTCCCCTACTCGGGCCCTTGCTCCACTCTTCAGCAAGTGTGCAAAATGAGAATGAATCTTCCAGTAGAACGTGGACAAATACAACCGCTTTCTTTTTTGTCTCGGTGACCCCGGTAGTGCAGAGAGCCCTTGGTGAGTGACTTTCTTATTTTTCCACTTTCTTGGCCGCGCCACTTT